AAGCCAATGTTGATAACTCATTTAAGTAAAGCAGCTAATGGAAAGACTCTCGGGTCTTGTTTTTCTTTACAATGAATGGTCAAAATTTGCTGCTACTCATTACAGAAGATTTCATTAGCTGTGTGTTTTTATGGGCAACTAGTAAAATTTAATGTACTATTTTCCGTGATTTATGTCCTTTCTGATTACACCCTTTCTGCCTTCAATCCTTCTAGAGAAAAGAATGCAAATTCATAGTGCCCCAAAGGCATAACTTAAGGCGTGAAGAAACATCACCTGCTAATTTCCAGTGCTGAATCCTTGTTCTGACCCATGCATGGAGACAATAAGCAACAGTTAGATTAGAAACGGGTTGTTTAAAAAATTTTAGTCATTTTCTTCTCTGCCTTACTACCAAGCCCAGAACAACATGGGTCTCGGAGATCAATAACCTCAAAGCCTGAAGGCAAATCTCCTCTTCCTAAAACGGTTGTTCACACAGTACCATCTATAGTTTTAAGGATGTTAGTCTTTCCAAAACAGAGGCATTTCAATTTGACAAGGCCACTCTTTCAAATCCATTGTAACAACATTTCATTCCGAGAAAACTGTATAAAGCAACTTGGTAAGGGACATTCAAAATCCTCCTAATACATACCTGCATGAAAACTGAGCCTCCAAATAAAAGAAAAAAAGTTAAGTGCACGGTAGTCAAATATCTTATGTTGGGACCACGTATAAGAACAACTAATGAAATTATACAGGATGAGTGACTAAGGGGAAGCCCGAGAGGGTAACATCACAGGGATCTAATATTTCCTCGATTTTCCTTTTCCTTCCCCAAACACACATCAAGACTACACTCATCAGCGCTTAGCATCAAGCCAGAACACAAATTAGTGAGGATCAGGGGGAGAAATCACAGTCCTGCAAAAACAGACTCACAAAAAGTTACTTCACAGACTTTCATGCTTATTGTGTAGTTGCAAATCCTTCTTAAACTGCAGGACCAGACTTCCTCTTAAACGTCCTAGGAGAAAAAATTACCCTGAGGTAAGAATAACCTCTGCTTTTTTTGCAGCACTGCAACGATAGCAGGAGAGAATCGGGGTCACTGCTGGATTCCCACCACCTTCTCATCAAGTCCTCAGTTGGATTTGTGCAAATGCAAAACAGCTCAAACAGGAAAACTCTGCTTCAGCGATGGGAACATTTAATTTTTAATACAAATGACAGAAAATTCACCCAGCTGGTGTCAGATCCTCAGGTGAGGTTAATAGGAAAAAAATAAATAGTATCTTTTATGTATTTGTTGAGCATGTTTGAAGTGGAAGCAACTGTGACAACAGACAGGGAATGCCACAATGGCATTTTTAGAGCCACGTTTAAAATTGGACCTTAAAGCTCTGACTCCTGCAGGTATTTTGCAAGGCCAAGTTCACAGGTCTACACACGTTTCCACCTACGCAAAAGTTCTCGTGCTCTTGAAGAAACAGAGCCAGGAGCAGTAACCAGAGTTGACCTTAGAAGCTACCATACTCCCTGCACCTGGAAGGCACATTTTTCCTATAGAGCTCAGAAGTATGGGTCACTAACGTATATTATCTGTTCAGCACAGAAATTACAGATTCACAGAATCTCCTAGATTGGAAAAGACCCGTAAGACCATCCAGTCCAATCATTAACCCAACGCTGACCAGCCCACCACTAAACCACGTCCCTGAGCACTATATCTACACGACCCTTAAATACCTCCAGGGATGGGGACTCCACCACTGCCCTGGGTAACGCGTTCCAATGCCTGATGACCTTTTCAGTAAAGAAATTCTTCCAAATATCCAATCTAAACTTCCCTTGGCACAACTTGAAGCCATTTCCTCTTGTTCCATCCCCCGCTAATTGACAGAAGAGGTCAACTCCCATCTCTCTGCAACCTCCTTTCAGGGAGCTTTCTTTGTAGAGTGATAAGGTCTCCCCTCGGCCTCCTCTTCTCCAGGCTGAACACCCCCAGGTCCCTCAGCCACTCCTCATCAGACATGTGCTCCAGACCCCTCACCAGCTCCGTTGCCCTTCTCTGGACACACTCCAGCACCTCTATGCCCTTCTTGTGGTGAGGGGCCCAAAACTGAACACAGCACTCGAGGTGGGGCCTCACCAGTGCCGCGTACAGGGGGATGATCCCCTCCCTGGTCCTACTGGCTACCCTATTCCTGACACAGGCCAGGATGCCGTTGGCCTTCTTGGCCACCTGGGCACACTGCTGGCTCGAGTTCAGCCGGCTGTCCACCAACACCCCCAGGGCCCTCTCTGCTGAGCAGATTTCCAGCCACAATATGCCGTCGATAATGGTATCAGCTGTCACCACCTCAGCTCATGTTCTGTCAGATTTCTAAAAACTACTCTCAGGAATTTTTCAGGAAAGGGCGCTCTTGAGTTTGCTATGCGCTGGGTGAGAACGTTTTATAATTCCAGGAAGAGCCTGGCAACGTGGGAACCTTCATCAATACTCAGAGTACAGCAGGTTCAAGCAGAGAAATATAATTTAGAAGTGAATTTATTTCTCTGAACTGGCATGAAGGGAAAACGTTGCCGTTGAACTGCCGTATCTACAATCCTCAGGTGAACGTTACTGAAGGTTTTGTTTATTTTAAGTGGAGCAGGAACAGCTTTAATTTCCTTATAAAGATTCTACAGCACAAAGTAACATCTCCTTTGGGAAGCAAATGCAGAAAGGACTCAAAATTTTGGCATCTTCGCCGAGATGGGCTGAATGAGTCAGTGCTTTATGATGACACGCATTAATATGCACGGCCACTTTGTTTAATCAATAAAAAGCCAAAGAACTTAAATGACTAAAGGCAGAAACAGCTTTCGTTATGCATACACATAAGTTTTAAATTCTCTGGTAGTTCCGCAGCGCTGGAAAAGGCTACTTTTAAATAAAATTATGTGGAAAAAAATATACATAAGTACATTGTGCACTTGAAGCAAAACCATATGCATAGTTTATGCTGATCAAATGTTTTCTATTATAATTTACATCTCTCCCAGTCTGAGGGACACTTGCCCAGCACTTCACTGAGCGATACAGAGTGTAACGAAGAACCAGGTAAGACATTTTCTGGCACATTGGGCATGAAGAGCAAGAACAGATCTGCAGCAATGAGAATTTTTAAGCCAGATTCTAAACCAACCTATACGGATTTACCAGAGTTGAGGACGAAGCCACCAGAGCCCCTGTTTTCAGGCACTTGGAGTGAAAGGAGCAACGCCGGTTTATGCTCACAATTTAGTTCTTAGAGACCACTGCTATGGTTCTTAGCTATCACTTGTACCCTACAGCCTTCATTCAAATACGGAACGAAATAACTGTTTATGAGGGTATGTTAGGATAAGTGATTTTAAACACCATCAACATGCTGTAGAGTGAATAAAAATAGAAATTACTGATTTTTAGAAGTCGCAGATGAGTCGGAAAACATTTACCTAGCTAAGCTTTAGGAACGCTAGTACCACTTCTTGCTCTGTTATCACAAGTGATTAATAACTCACCTTTTCCTCTTCTTACATATGCAAACATTACCTGTTATACTGTGGGGGAATGATTAATAATAATTAAAAAAAAAAAAGAAAGAAAAACCTAATAACCTTTTTTATTTGAAAACACAGTCTCACTACTTGTATAAAAATGACTGAATGGCCCAGGTAAGCAAATCCCAAACCTCAACGTTCAGATTGAGGCTAACACATCGAACAGGGGTCCCGTATACTATTCTCGCTTTTAGGTGGAAAATAATGGCAGACACTATACAACTAACTCACTGAAAAAGAAGTAGGTTAACATTTACAGTGGTGTGACTGGGATTCAGTCTTTCAAGGTTTATTTCTTCAGCTCCCCAAAATCATGTGATCTTTAGCAAGAAACTGAACTGAAGTGATCACAGGGGAAAAGAACAGGAATTTTTAAGTTTTTTTCCCCCCAGAATTTTCACATGGTTCTTCTCTGCTGGGTTTCCACGACCAAGCTCCAGTTTCCAGCTCTGAAAGTTGGTATTGGCACATCACAAGTGACTCCTCACAAACCTCCGCTACGTAGAAATACAGCTTCAGGCTCTGAGGGACGAGCCAACCCTACAGGAGCAGGGCTAAATAACAAAAACCCCTATGAGAGCAAAAGATAAGAATAATCAAATGAAAGAGTCTAAGAGGCAAGCAAAAATATGGACAAAAGAATTAATAAGTATGAGAAGAGAAGGAAAGATTTTCTGTATTGGAGGAATATTGAAACCGTCAATCTTCGAAAGGATGCAGGGGAAAGATGTAGGTCACTTCTGTATTATTATTTTTATTCATTTGTTAAACAAGGACAACCCCACTTATTAATCTACAGAAACAATACAAGGATTAATTCCCCATCTGTGCAGCACCACTTTCAAAGCCTCATCCCAAAGCGCCGACAAAACTGAGTGTTTTGCTCAGCGTTTGTTGTAGGAACAGGTATACAAAGATCAGCACCAGATTATTCCTACGTATAGACAGACCTTTAGTCAAAGTTACAAAGTTCCCACAAGGAAAAGCTTTGACCTTTTGGCTCCAACACAGCAGAAAAACTTCTGCAACATCTATACATACCTGCCTGCCCACATTAAATAATGTAGAGGAGACCTCTATGCAAACTGAACTGACTGCAAATATCTCCTCTGCCCAAGATACCAAGAACGTGATCAAGATCCCAACCGGCACAGAAAACTAAGTGTACTTAATTGAAGCTGATGGGGGGTCGGAGAGGGGAAGGATGATTTGCCAAGAGAAAAATGTAGACAGGGCCAAGTTCTGCCCCTGGGCATTCTACTCACTAATTTTGTGGCGATGCACAAATTGCTTCCTAACTTTCTGTCTCAGGACCTCCCATCAGCAGCCAACCACAAAGAGGGGATGATATGCCGACTACTACTCCTGTAAAATCAGCTGAAGAGCTACAAATTAATTCTGTGAGGAATGCACGTGACTTAAATACTCACTGCTGGAGCTTCCTGGAGTACTGAATTGGGAAGTTTCAAGGAACTTTCGAGGTGTAGACAAGTTAGTAACATCCATAAGAGGTACAGGAGAGGCATCTTTCACAAGTGAACTGTGTGAGGGGAAAGAATTAAAGCAAACAGCTTACTATTTATTTACAATCTTAGTTCACAACAAATAATACACTCATTTATTAAATTTGTAAGCCTAAGGAATAGATAGACATAACATACAGTTCTGATACAAGAGGTTTACAAAACCTGACTAAAAGCACAAGTCCACAGATGAATAGGAGTAGGTGTGTATATACACACACTTAAGTGAAAAAGGAAAAAGCAAAAAAAGCAATGATAAGGGAACACTGTCACACCAAAGACAAAATTTGGCATCCCAATCCCAGGCCTCTCTGAATTTAATAGTGTTCTAGACCAGGTTGCTCAGAGCCCCATCCAACCTGGCCTTGAACACCTCCAGGGATTGGGCAGCCACAGCTTCTCGGGGCAACCTGCCCCAGTGCCTCACCCCCCTCAGTGTCAAGAATTTCTTCCTAATATCTAATCTAAATCTCCCCTCTTCTGGTTTGCAGCCATTCCCCCTTGTCCTATCACTACATGTCCTTGTAAAAAGTCCCTCTCCAGCTTTCTTGTAGGCCCCCTTTAGGTACTGGGAGGGGCTCTAAGGTCTCCCTGGAGCCTTCTCTTCTCCACGCTGAACAACCCCAACTCTCTCAGTCTGTCCTCACAGCAGAGGGGCTCCAGCCCTCGGAGCATCTTCATGGCCTCCTCTGGACCTGCTCCAACAGGTCCATGTCCTTCTTCTGTTGAGGGCTCCAGAGCTGGACACAATGTTCCAGGTGGGGTCTCAAAAGAGCAGAGTAGAGGGGCAGAATCACCTCCCTTGACCTGCTGGCCACGCTTCTTTCAATGCAGCCCAGGATAAAGGCCCACCTCTCAAACCTCTCCAGGTCTCTCTGGATGGCATCCCTCCCCTCCAGAGTGTCAACTGTGTTCCTCCTCTTCAAATTCCTGTTCTGTCCACATTTCGTGCATCCCCCTCCAAATGAGCCCTCTTACTCAGAAATGAAAGACTTTCTACTTGGTCATTTTCATAATAAATTCACATACTATTATTTGCCAAAGATGTGTCATGCTGCCCCAGCTGCATAATGAAAGGCATGAAGCTGGATCTGGCATGGGAACACAAGCAAGAAATAATTTTTAAGAGAAAGAAGCGGAGAAAGTTCCTATAATGAAGTTCAGTATGTTCCCTTAGAGGTCAAAATGCTTACAGAAACCTGTGAAGAGAAAAGCTAAGCTTACTACGCTGCCTAACAACCACCCAGACACCCACAATACCATACTTACAGGGATTAGCTATGCATTCTGGCTTAGCAATGTTAGATAAAAAAAAAAAGTCAATACAAGAAATAATTACAAACATTACTGCATCCTGGTCAACAGTCATTCTGGGGCAGCACACTAAAACAAAGCGAGAAGACTGTCCTTGATGCAAGAGTTCATGTTATCAAATATCACCGATGTGCAACAGGGAATTTAAAAAGAGATAGAAAACAAGAAAAAGATAAGGGTCCCTGTAGCAGTCATACAAAACTGCAGTTAATTAGCAGTCGCATAGTCTGGGTACACCAAAGCTTTGTGTCTGTTTTTAATTAACAAGATGAGTAAGGAAGAGACTGATGACTTGCTTGCAATCCTCCTTCCTAGAAATTTCAACTTCAATCAATCCTTTATTTCATAAATTCATTTAATGTAACTTACTGTCGCCCCTCTTATTTTTGGTAAGCACTTTTTTATTCCTTCTCATAATAAAATGCTAATTTATCTTTTCTCTGCATCTTTATCATATGCTGGCTCCTCTTTTGCTCCCCACCCCTGTCCTGCTCTATAAAAGTTATCTTCCAATACTGTGTCTCTTTTCTAGCCACTATCTTACTTCCTTCCCTCCCAACAACTCTATTGCTCTCAAACTTTGAAAATTTAGGAAAAATGAGCCAGGCACCTGTACTCTAGCTGAGTTTCCACTGATCAGAGGCACCAACCAGGTCGGAAGTTTCAACATCTTTAAAACACAACACAGCCAAGACACTGCTCAGGCACTTCAATATTGTGGCCCCCGGCTAATAACCTTACAGTCAGCTGGAAGTCTTTCAAACCTTGGATGTTTGCTAGAAAAGATGAGCGATTTTTCCCTCTGTTCTTCCCTTTGCCTGACCTGAGCCTCATGATCACGACATTTGTAGGAAAGTTATATGCATCAGAGAAGGAAAAGAATGCTAAAAGGAACTGACCTCATCATAATTCTGTGGGAAGCAGCAAAAACCCAACAGAATCACTGAGCAAAAGTGAAAGAACGAGAACAGACTGTTCACAGGCTTGAAGGTACATCAACAAATGTGGAGTTTTTCTGCTCTCCACAGCCACAACCATGAGAAAATTGCTTGCCAAAAATGAAAGGTTGAGGAGTAAGTCGATGGCACTCTCCCAAGAAAGTTTGTACTTATGAAAGGGAAAACGTTGTCCTCTTCCCTCCCAGAGCTGTTGCCCACAGTTAGCATCACACCAAACCCACCTTATTCTCCCTTTCTCCTTGTTGCGTTGTCCAACGCGGTTAGTAGATTTGATGTAAAGATGACGGTGTAATTCATCTATCAGGACTAAGTGCATGTTCATCTTCTTACTGTGGAGCTCCAGTCTCAGATCACTCAGTCCCTCCACCTGAAGAAGGGGACCCTCCAAGGAGTCCACCGCTGACACCTGGAAGGAGAACACACAGGACAACTTTTAAAGGTCAACTCCTTCATCTCTCAGGACTTTTCCATTAGGATAGTGTCTGAATACCATGATCGTTTTATCCATAAACCCTTTTAAAGCAGAAAGCGTTTAAGTAGTATTTCTTTATTTCCATTTCTAAAAGAAAATCCTATATATAAAAAGGGTCCAATATCCAAACAACTCAGATTTAATGAGCAATCTTCAAATATTTTGAGCATACGTATAAAAACAAGTTAGTTAAAACACAGTTCGTTAAATAAAAATCAAAGCATATTTTATCACAAAATAAGAGGATTATCAAGTAGAAAAGTGTTAGAAAAAGATACTGACAATGATGTTTGATTGTCTTTATTCTTTTCATTACAGAAACACCAACAAAACATTATTCTCAATTCTATAAACAGGGAGAAAATGGCTTCAATTTTATTTGCCTAAAGCGATGTCATGACACAGCTGCAAAAGCTTAGGCGGCCTCATCTTCTACCCTTCATAGCTGCCGTATCGTGTAAATACACAATTTAAATAAACATAGCCATCAGATTCATGAAGCTATTGCTAGTTCAAAGGTATTTTTGAACTCTAAAGAGTGTGGGTTTTTTTTTATGTTCGATTATTAAGTCTCAAATTAAGGAAAATAACTTTATACAAGCAACAGAGTAGTCGACAGAGATCTAGACATGCAGTAATGTAAAGAGGCCATAGGTAACATTTCTCTGCTGATGCACCTCAATAGTGACCAGCTGACATCCAGCGGGCACGAGACTGAGGAACCTAATTTCCATTTACATCCCCAAAACAAACATGGACAGAAGCCACCAGGAATGACAGATCAGTGCATAAAAGCAGCACTATCAATTTGCACCTCTCCCAGTTTACTTGTTTTTTTAACTTTTTAACAGAGCACTTCCACAGTTACCTAAAAAAAAAAAACAAACAACAACCAAACAAAAAAAGAAAACCAAGAAACCAAAAGAAAGAAACCCAAAATAACAGCATCCCTCTGCAGTTTGCAACATCTTGGTGCTACTGTTGTAAGAAACTAGAAACAGCATAACATGTTTTGCGTAGAGAGAAGCACAGATTTAAAATTGAGGGGGGGGGGGAAATATCATTTCCTAATAACTGAAGATACTCTTCGTGAAATAAGACATTTGCTTGCACTTCAGGATTTAGGTTTATAGCCAACCTGTCAGCTAAACATTAAAAATGAAAAGCAAAGAGACACAGTAAGCAGACAGCCAAGCTAAGGTCTGGTCCCTTAATACCAGTAAATATTAAATATACTGAGAGAACATTTATCAACAACGTATGGCTTTGTTTGCCTCCAAGTCAAGAATGACCCTGAAATAGCTTTGGGGCAGTCAGGCTTCTTAAATTCAGAGTAGTTTCTAAAAGGAAGCTGCACTTTTTCCTTTCTCCTGGAAAACTTTCCCAAGGAGTCCTTAACTGTGAAATTCTTTTCTCCGCACAGACGGTGAGCGCGTGTGCTTGCTGCCAGTCTTTAGGACAGAGCTCAGTCTTGAGAAAGAAAGCGTGTCCCAGTATAATCACAGAGGGCTGGAGAGGCTCCTCCGAAGCCCACCAACGCCGCAACTTCAACAGTGTTTACGGGGTTCCTTCACTCGACACAAAGCGCTATCCATCCTTTCTTCCCAGTCTCTATTTGTGAACAATTTTATTTAAGTTTGGCCATAACACATAACAAAACCACACCGCAGACGAAGCAAAAAACCCCCAAATTTGCTTCTCCTCAAGAAGCTGGCATTCCACGGTACATACAAATAGAGAAGGCATGGCGGGCACACAGACACAGCTTGGAAACCTTTGGCAGATGTCTAAGTGCTAATTTTTATCCTCCTCCTTTGGCAGGTAGAGACGTACCCCCAAACTTCCCAATTCCAAAGGCGCTTGAACCCCCCCCAGTCACTTCAGGAGAGTCGCAGACGTTCATCGCTGCCCTGAAAGCTGTCAGCAATTTCACCAAAGCAGGAACAAGATCAGGAACAACATTTGTCAAACCGAGAAGCTGAGAGATGAAAATTTATCGAGGGAAGAACTGAAAGCAAGCAGGAAAATGACATTAAAAAGGTTCCAAGACATTCCGGAAAAGTATTATCTAAAACACAAGCAACCGAAATTTAAAGCTTTCCACTCAGATCATTCAACTATTTTTATCTTCCTGGTTCCTAAAGCATTAGTTATTCTCAAAACTAATTATTAAGACTAACATACAGCTCTCAAACACATATTTTAAGAAACAAATGGAACAGTCAGTCATTTACTGTACTAAAAAAAAAAAACCAAACCAAAACAAAACAAAAAAAAAAACCCACAACACACGACACAAAGCACCCCCAAAACCCAACAAAAACCCCACATTGTTATGCACTGAAACTTCTTCTGGAAACAGCCGGGTTGGGTTTGGTTTTTTTTGGTGGGTTTTGTTAAGCGGGTTTTTTGACAGCCTTTCTGACACTTCATATTTGCAGTCAGACAAGCTGGAAGTTACGCCCTTGACAAATGCCACTTTCCCAGTGATGGAATTCTACTGGTAAATAACACAGGCCAGTTTCAACGTTACGCACACTCAGAGCCTTTTAACTTATGGTGGCCCCACTCCAGTAAAGCCTCACGTAATGCTCTTTTCTTTCCCGATATCTCACTTCCCGTTAGCACCAATTATCAAGACAGAGCATAAGAGAAAAGCTTTGATGTTCAGAACAGTTTGGGTCTCGAAGAATATCTACAGGCTCAACGCAAGTTCATGGAAGTCAAGGGAAGGTCTCCAATTGGTTGAGGTGGGGCCCTCACTACATGAAGGACATTGAGGTGTTGGAGCGTGTCCAGAGAAGGGCAATGGAGCTGGTGAGGGGTCTGGAGCTCAAGTCTTATGAGGAGCGGCTGAGGGACCTGGGGGTGTTCAGCCTGGAGAAGAAAAGGCTGAGGGGAGACCTTATCACCCTCTACAACTACCTGAAAGGAGGGTGTAGAGACGTGGGGGCTGAGCTCTTCTCCCTGGTGACAAGTGGTAGGACGAGAGGAAATGGGTTCAAGTTATGCCAGGTGAGGTTTAGATTGGATATTAGGAAACATTTTTTCACTGAAAGGGTTATTAAACATTGGAATAGGCTGCCCAGGGAGGGGGTGGATTCACCATCCCTGGAGGTGTTTAAAAAAAAGGCTAGATATGGTACGTGGGGACGTGGTTTAGAGGTGGTTTTGTCAGGGCAGGCTAATGGTTGGACTTGATGATCTTAAAGGTCCCTTCCGACCTCAGTGATTCTATGACTCTATGATTCTAAGGATAAACATTGTGTTAAAAAAAAAAAAAAAAAGAAAACAAACATTTTCCCGTTCTGTAGTTTTACTTACAGAAAGACGATCCCGGCAACAAGCAAGCTATAAAGCAGCATCCCAGATTATATTTCAGAATACAAAATACGAGATTAAAACATTTGTCTAATTTGTGTGCTGGATAACCTACCCCAGACCAGTAGCATAAGCAACTAAAATAGTGCAAAGATGTCTAAGAAGAATGCACAAAATTAAAAATATGTACAGATCTAACAACGGAACTGTTATGAGAAAAACCTTGACAAGCTTTGATTTCACCTGACTATGCTGGGAAAGATCAGTCCTTCAAACTCATATTCAGCAAATAACCACACTGTCATCACAAAGGCTTTGTTCTCCAGCAGAAGGGAGATGAGGAGTTACAGAGATGGATGGAAAAGAAGGGGCAGCAGAAAGTGAATAGGAAGAGCAGTAATAATGACAACAACTGCTCCGTTGATTACGTGGAAACACGAGCAGAAGTAGTTTACAACCGGCTTTATTTGAAGTCCAAGTATCCATTTGGGCCACGTTAACAAGATGATCAACTATCTTGAGAAACAGTGAGGTTACAACGGGACTTGGAAGATCACCACAGTGGGTCAGCCAAGAGCACAGCCACGTGCAGCCAAGAAAAAATGAGATGAGCACTGAGAGCTAGAGAGCACAGCCACGTGCAGCCAAGAAAAAAATGAGATGAGCACTGAGAGCAGGACTAGAAAGAAAGAACACCTTATAAATTGAATATAACGGAGACTATGTCTATCATTGGCAAAGTTTAAATCAAGAGCAGAATTTCATGCCCCCACTCAGCTAGTAACACACCATCACTTGTATTATGCAAAAGACCCAAATGTATGATAAAAATACTTTCAACTTTGAAAATCATAGAGGTTTATTTACTGTTGTATCATCAACTCATCACTCAACTTGGTCTTATAATTTCCACTAGTTGTTCTTAACCTTTTGTCATTTCAAACCTTGATATGCAAAAGGAGACAGATGAGTGGGAGATGGGCTGCACAAAGCAGTGAGAGGTCGGAGCACAGCACAAATACTGCTCTGCAAAAAAAAGTGTTGCTGTTCCTCAAGTTAGCAGTGACTCTGCCACTTAGAAAACCTTAATTTAGGAGTAAAAAAAAATTATTTCTTGATTTTTATCAAAAAAAGCAGAGCTGCTCCTCTGCTTATAGTACACAGAACAACTCAAGAAAAAGGCGCATTCGAGAAAGAAACCAAAGTGTTGGGGGTTGAATGTATTTATATTGTTAGCACCATTAGTAAACATAAAAAGCTTTTCACATTTTGAAACGCAACTGTCTCCCTCCCTCTTGAATACTAAACTTCAAAAAAATAGGGATCTTATATTTAAATTGTATCTATGATTTTTCCATTTATTTATTACAAAGTTACCCGGAGTCCTCAGACAGACAGAAGCCCTTCACTTCTAATGATCTGCATCACTTATTAGGATTTTAATTTAATTACTTTGAACAATTAAGAACAGAAAAACCTTACAAGCTACAACATTCCCACATCAGTTTTCATATTTTCAGTACATTATAGCAAGTTCTGGGTTTTTTTCCGTTCCTCAGCAGCATTTTGAACGCTCACTTCAAAAGAAGCCGTGCTGGGAAATTAAACACCTC